TGGTCATGTCACACATGTGCCCAAGGCCAGGATTTTCTATTTTTATCTGGATTTCAGGGTTTTAATTTTAACAGTGTTGAGTCCGTTTTAGGCCTTTATGCTATTGTTTTTAATATTGCCCATCTTCAGATGGCAGGATCCACATCACTAGTTTTCAACAATTTTAATTGCAGGAGACTTTGAAAGCCATAAAAATGATTCAGGAAATCATGTCTATATGTAATAGTCAAGGCCAGCCAAATCTGGGCCTCCAAGGTAGAGAATTCAACAAACCTGTTATCACATATTAAAAGAAAATTATAAACTAATAAATATCAGTTAATGTTTCACATGCAAATGATTTATGGAGCTCCAAATATGTGTGTGTGTGTTTGAGCACAGAAGCAGGAGATGGCATTTAATAGGGCTGTGTTAAACATTCAAAAGGTATATTTCATCAGTAACAGGTAGTCCTTGCTTAACAACCACAATTGGGACCAGAATTTAGGTCACTAAGTGATGCTGTTGTTAAGCAAATCATCATGTGTCTGGACCAGATTTTACGACCATTTTTGCAGTGGTCATTATGCGAATCACTGTGGTCATTAAATGAATCATGTGATCGTTAAACAAATCACATGGTTGTTAAGTGAATCACATGGTTCCCCATTGATTTTGCTTGCTGGAAGCTGGCTGGGAAGGTCGCAAACGGCAATCACGTGACCATGGGGGCGCTGTGATGATTGTAACTTCGGGCACTGGTCGTAAGTCATTTTTTTAGCATCGCTGTAACTCTGAATAGTCACTAAACAAACAGTTGTTAAGTGAGGACTATCTGTACAATAGTATATTCAACCTTGATAGATTAAAATAGCCCCATCCTTCGGATAAATATTTTCTTAGCTTGCCGGAGGAGCGTGGGAGCTACAAGAGGATGAGACTGGCACCTCCCTGAGGAATTCACACTGTTGTGATTGGCTGACTTGGGAAATGGGGTTTCAGTCTGGGAAGATTCTTGCTAGAGGTTGTAGCTAAT